ATAGCCCATCTGCGAGGAAGATGAGGCCATTGAGATGAATAATCCGTTAATTGTCAGTTAGACACCCCAGTTGACGTTGAAGTGAAGCTGCCCTGGACCTCCCGAGGTCGGGAGCTCGGACTTGGTGCCTCAGGCCCTTATCGATAAGACAATTATTTTTCCCTTCGACTCAGTCTCCCGAGGTCTATTCTTTTAACTTGCCCATTCATTATGGAGGAGACCCTGCTGACGGATTTGTGTGCGATATGGTACGTCAGATCATATGTGAAAGCTGTGCCTCTCCTAACCCGCGTGCAGCCATGTCGTTCCTCCCAAGTACAAATGCCCACGCTGCTCGATACGTACTTGCTCTCTCCCATGCACCCGGCGCCATAAGCTCTGGTCAGAATGTTCCGGGGTCCGTGACCCAGCAGCATACCTAAAACGCAATGAGCTGGCTACCGAATCGGCATTTGACCGCGACTTCAACTTCATCACTGGCATCGAACGCACCCTCGAGCGAGCAGATAGAGAGGCTGATAACCGCGGAATCGACCTTGCGCGTGGGGCTCAGTCCGAGCATCCTGGGGCGGATGGAACACCGGAGCCCGCGGCGGGCCTTAAGAGGAAGCATCCCGGTCAGGGCCTTGCCAAGGGTGAGGCTGGATTCCTGCGTGGTGCCGAAGCTGGCGGAGTGACAGTCATCCGGGCTCCCAAGGGAATGTCAAGGAATAAGCAGAACGGATCCCGTCTGCATCCAAAGTAGGTTGCGATAGAAATCCGCTCGGTACTTCTCACTAACCGCGCCAGGCACAAATGTCTTTCTTGGACCATTGAGTGGATCACCGCCGAGGGGGTGAAGACCATCCGGAATTCTGTCGTGGACACATGCTCAGTGACAGAGGCCTATGATCGGTGCTGTCCACGTCCAAAGGAATCAGAATCAGATGCTGGGCCCGCGAAGGACGAGGCAAGGAAGGAGTCGAGTGTCCCCGCCGAGAGCACAGGCAACGAGACCATTGGAGAAACCAAGTCTTCAGCTGAGACTGCGGAGGTCACTGCAGCATCAGAAGCAATTCACTCTCCTGTTCCTGATGCACCAGAAGTGCCGGCAGAAGCATCGACCGAAATTGACAATCAAGCGGTCGAGACAGTGCCAGACCAGAGTATCTCCCCTCACCGTGGCCTCTTCTTCTATCTTCACCGTCCCCGCACCACAACGAAAAAGCCTGTACTGGTTCCCCTCTTGCAGTCGGCAACCTTGAACGCCACTCTTCGCAATCGTACCGTGCTTGAGTTCCCCACCATCTACGCCCTTCCGCTCCGAGCGGAAGAACTAGCAGAAAAAGAAAGCTCGTTCATTCTGGAAGAGGAATATCTTCGAACTGTCGGACCGGAAGAAAATCCCTTATCAACCGGAAGCGATGACGAACAGCCCGATGGCACACTGCCTGGATCTTCAGTGAATCTTCAGAATGTTGATGAGCACAAAGTGTTGGAGGTGTTGAAGCAGGATCTATTCGAACCGGTGGACACTTCTGTGTAATAATATCGTGATCTCGTCTTGTGTCGTCGAGGAAAGAACTTTCGTTGCGACTTCCCAAGGGTTTCCTGCCCCGTCCACTTCTACATTCGCTTCTCGTCTGTCAAACCCCATGTTTTGTTCACATTTCTAACCATGAGAATACACGCCTTGTCGGTCGGAATCCTCGGCTCACTCAGCATTGTCTCCGGGACGTTGGATACTAGAACCCCACGAACCCCACACAAAGAGCTCCCGCGAAGATGCGATTGCTATACAGTATCCGGGCCTGATCCTGGGTACTTTCAGCATTACAAGCTCTGGGACTTCCGAACGGTGGACTTGAAGAAGCATGCTCATCTCAATCTATCCGAGCCCGTCGTAGATGGCGACGGCGAATGGGACGAATGGGAGGACTTCGACGAGAGTGATGATGAACTCGAGAGCATCGTCTTTCCTGAGACCAATGACACATCTCAGCCCGATCCCACTTCGTTGGTGCTCTTCAAAACCTCGTTTGAGAGAGACTGGAGCAGTCAGGCGTGGGAGCGCCCAGGAACACCCAAAGCCCCCGTTCTCATGGTCAACTCTAAGAACAATGTCTTCCTCACCCGGGACTATGAGCGGGATGATCCGCACGCAACTTACCTTGTTCTACGCACCACCCGTCACGACGGCTACACTTCCACAGCAGAGATCGAGACCCGTCTGCGTAATATCTACCGCTGTTCACTGCGCGTACGACTCCGATTTTTGCCCGCTGACTTCGTTATGGCGCAACCACCGCCACAGCCGAGAGCGTGGCCCCCGGAGCGACCTGCGCACGCGCTATTGAACAATAGAACTGTTGATGTTAATCCGACAAAACCGCCCCATGAAGGCCTACCACCACCCGGAGCTTGTGCAGGCATCTTCACCTACCATGACCGCCAAACTGAATCGGACATTGAGATCCTCACTCGCGACCCACCTCATACCGTCCATTATGCCAACCAGCCCGATTACGATTTTGAAGCCGATCGAGAGATTCCAGGCGCAAGCACCATCGCTCAGATACCAGTCCCATGGAATACGTGGGCCACCCATCGGTTGGATTGGCTCTCTAGCATCTCACGGTGGTTTGTGAACGGTCAGATCCAGGATGCTCGAACGTACCGCGTCCCTGACAAGCATAGCATGGTTGTCCTCAACCTCTGGAGTGACGGTGGGCTTTGGACTGGGGATATGAAGCTCGGGGATAGCATTTACATGGGAATTGAGTACATTGAGCTGATCTACAATCGATCATCGGATCCTCCGAACCCTCTTTATGCGAATCCGCAGAATTCAATGCCGAATTTGAATCTCATGGATATCAATCGTGACCAACCTACTGAACCGAGTCATTTTATATGCAAACCGGGAAGACAGGGTCGCGAATGTCGGAAACAGAAGTTTTTGAACAAACCTCGTGCTGAATTTTGCTACAATCCTTGCAACGTTGATGGCCTTTGACGGGAGAACATCGAGCACTGAGTATTCCTATCACTCATTCTTACTTAATTCAATCCTGTACTAGGTATATAGAGAATGACGTTCTACTAAGACTTTAGCTATGTAGAGTTAGCCACAAAGTGTTAATCTGTCTATCATTTATTCATTGAAAGTATCTCTTTTTAATTTATATAGAATCATAGATATTATTAGATATTTTTAACTGAACAAGATCTCAACTGAACAAGATCTCAACTGAAGCAACTGAAAGTCTTAACTGAAGATCATGTCCAGGGAGTCAACTGGCGAACGTTAAAGTGGGGTGCGCCTTGGCTTCCTAAACAGGTTTAGGGTCCTTGGATGTATGAGGCAAGACTTCACTCTCCCAATCTCACCCCTAACGATGCCAGACAAAGCATCGACCTCATGCTGGACATGTCGTCGTCGACGTGTGAAGTGTGATCGACTGCTCCCTGCATGCAGCAAATGCTCGGACTCAGCACAAACCTGCCAAGGCTACACCACCGAGAAACCCTTAAGGTGGACCAATAGTGTAGCCAGCCGGGGCAAATGGATGGGGAGGAGTGTGCCCGATGTCCAAAACATCTCAATGGCCCGCATCCTCATCGACCCCGTGTTTCAGGACCTGTCCCCCGCCAAGCGGGGCTACGTCCACTACTGTGAGCACGATGTGCCGGATCAACATGCAAGATTGATACTGATTCGCTTAGTTGATCAACATTGCTCGGCGGAGAGTACTTTGTTTCAATCAATGCCCACGAATCCTTTCAAGGAGTTCATGCGCTTGATACCGGCTAGTACCGGTCTTCTTCATACCATCATCGCAGTGGCTGCTTTGCACAAAGCTCAACGACATGGATCATTTGATCTCGAACCTCCCATTATCTCTGCAGATCTCACATCGACGACAACACTGGCTGCACCGGAATTCTACGATGCGTTGGTTAACAAGCAGCAAGCGTTACATCACCTCAGAAAGGAGTTTGAGGACCCCAACGTCTCCAACCATGATGGCGCAATTGCTTCCATCCTCATGTTCGTCTGGCTCGAGCTGATGGATTCCGGAAGAGACTCTTGGAAGTACCATCTGACTGCCCTGAGGCGCATTGTCAAGGCAACCCTTGTGCCGACAATGGACCCCTCTGGCGGCTTCAAATCCACCTTTTGGAGCAGCTGTGAATACTTTGAGATGATTTTTGCCACGTATGTCCTTGTTCATCCTCTTGGGGCTCTCATACTCATACCCACAGTTATGAAATTCTGGGCTCAACATTCGTAAAACCCTCTCAACCATACCAGCCACTCTTCACCACAATGTCAACGATGGATATTCTCCGACTCTGCGAATCCCAAACATGGGTCGGCTGTCCCGCAGAGCTTCTCTACCTAATATCATTAGTGAATACAGTTCCCGAAAACGACGAGCAAAGTACGACTTTGAAATCGCACATCGCCAGGGAATTACAAAGTTTCTCAGCTCACAGATGGTCGATTGGGAATTCAAATACGAAAGTCCCTCGAATGATCGAAAGGTATCATTTTGCTTGTGTCTACAGAGAAGCCATTGCCATCTACGTTTCACAGGTCACAGCTCGCTGGGCTGGGCAGCCGTTCCCAGAACTGTATGCGATGGACTCTGTCGATACAATTATTCACCACATGAGTTCAATAAGTACTGAAGATCCGTTCTTCAAAGCGCTTGTCTGGCCTGCTTTCGTCATCGGCGCCGAGGCTAGGACCGAGGGTCAGAGAAATGCTGCTTTGGAGGTTACTGGAAATCTGTGGACGGTATGGCGAGCGGGAAATGTCCGGAACACAGTGCATGTCTTGAAGCAGATCTGGGCTCGTGGGGACCAGGAAGGCTGGTCTACGCCGTGGATTGAATATCTCTATGAGTGGGGTGAGGATTGGATGTTTGTTTAACCTGCGGAGGTGCGGGTGTATATAAAAGTCAGGGACATGCATATATGTACGAATACATGAACTTCTATACAGCTTGGAGTGTTGCTTCCAAGGTTCAGCCATGGATTCTTGATGCCTTCCAACCTTGGAATTCTTCCAAGGCTATGGATGAGCCTACTGACATTTCAAACCAGTTGAAGGATTCGTGGATACCTACTCTCTAGTATCTTACGAGAGACGGTATAAGAGTCCGGACGGACGGACAAGAGCTGAAATCGCAACGCAGAAATACATTCATGGATTGAGGCTAAAAGTACATTGGTCTCATTAACGCAGAAAGCCAACCGCGTGATTAGAAACACCGCAACGCCCCAGAAATGCTAAACACCGCATGAAAAGTGAGAACTGTCTGCCGGGATGCACTTATATCAACCGAATTGGCATCGCGGCAGGAACAGTGGGGTATCATTCGAACTCATTGGGGGAAAAAACGTCATGTAAAAACAGAGCACGGGAAACCAAGGCCGTGCTTTCTTATTGTGCTTGGTTTGCGTCCGGAAAAAACATAGCTTCGCATGTTGATGAAGAATGCATTGCCCGAGGCTGAACAGGTAGGATATGTGTGGCGTGTGCAGGTGGCATTGCGGGACGCCATTGGCCGAGAGAATGGGACAGGTGCATTACCCATTCCCGTGTGGAGGTTGAGAGGATCGGATAGGAACAAACAAGGGCATATGAGTTTGTGGTTGTCGGATCAAAGCAACAATGTGCCTGTGGGGTCTTTCGGGATGAACTCGCCATGAAGGCCGCCATTCATGATCTCGGCGACAATCTTACTGCGGAGTAGAGTGGTATGACTCGGGCCAAAAGCCGTAGGCTCAATACCAAGGGCGATTGCCTTGGCATTGATCAGAAGAAAAACGCCGCAGTCACTCATGTTGTCTTGTCGTGATGAGACCGATTTAAGGACAGTCCATTCTTCCTCCTTGTATTTCGGGCCAAGTTCTCCACGAAGCCATGCCTTAATGCTCTTGACTTGGTACGCACCAGCAGAGCCGAGCGAGTCGAAATACTCAATTGTGCGATCCACTGGCCGCACAACCATGAGAGTCCAATGGTTGACCTCATGGACAGGTATGAAGACTGTGTCAACATCTAGCAGATTTTCGCGGCCGATTTTAGCACGTGTGGCCCATCTCGCGACGCTCTGGTATCCTTTGTCACGAAGGTTGGAGTAGAAAAAAGTGTTGAATGAGTGGAAACGAGGCCGATCATTGGGCCCCAGGTTTCCATTCAACTGGCGGAGGTAGTGAACGAGTATCGCGAGGTAGGAATTGATAATCTCATCATTGAGCCAGGCCATCGGGCGAACACACGTTATGATATCCTTTTGGCAAATCTCATGACCGGCTAACGTCGTTGCGACGACCTGGCTCTGCTTGCATCTCTCGGCCTCTCGAACCTTTGAAGCCCATTTCTGCGAGAGTGATCGTACAGGTTGACCGGACGGCACCACCCTAGATGGCCGTTGGCCGTCAAGCTCTCGAGCCAGTCTTTCCTTCTCGAGCCTTTCGAAATCCGCCGCATACCACGATTTAGTACGATTTTCTGGGATTGAAGTTTGCTTGGCGCGGAACAATTGCACTGCGGATACACGACCGCGGGTTGTCTTTGCAAATTCGTGAGCGTGCTGTACCCAAGGGTCAACAATTTCCGTGCGATTCTTGGGAACGCGCTCGGCTTTCGGAGTACTCGGTGGCGGGGACCGCTTTGGGGTCGGCGGACGAGAAAGTCCTACAGGCCAATGCGGACGAAGATGTGGCCCAAGATCTGTGACGATTTCATTCTGCATATGACCATCTTGGTTCGGAAACTGCCAATCCTGGGGAGCGGTGTCTGCTTGCCCGAACGTGTCGCCCTGGGAATCGATTGGCTTGAGGCCAGGGGATTTGGGTGGCGATGGCGGAAAAGCTCCGGGGATCGATTCTCCCGGGAAATTGGTGTCTAGAAATAAGGTAAGTATGCGCGGTGAGTACGTGGGGGAAGTCGTTTGGCCGTACCCTCGTCGCTAATGGCAGGTATGGGGCTAGCGGGAGGAGTTGGTATTGGCGCGGAAGTCTTTGGAGATTCGGTAACAGATGCATATCGCCTGCTGAAAAGCCGTTTGACAAATTCCATGATGATCTGACGGCGAGAAGTCCTGGAAGTAAGAGGAAGGTGAGCTACTCGTCCGATGACGCGCTTCACACAGAGATGGCAGTAGGCAGATGGAGTTTGACGTGAAGGGGGAATTGACGAGGCAAGGAGGAAAGCTCATCCATCATTCTTGGCAGGAAACTCTCCCAGACGCTTCGAGTGAATGTGGTCCAAGTCAAAGAAGTAGGGAAATAGATCCGTCGGACGCGATGCTCTGCGTTACGTCAGCAGCCTTGTTTCGACACAAGGGCTGGGCGTTTCTTTGATTCTTTGATTGTCGACTCGTCTCTACCAGACAGATTCTTTCGATGAAAAGCACATGAGATTTTCATGCTTCCTGATGCTGTGTCCTTGTTTATTTCGAGGTGGTTTGCATTTTCCTTATGGTCATTGCGCTGTTTATTCTATAGAGTAGACCGGAGCCACAGAAGGACTTCTGTTTTCAATGCTTATGTACATGGATAGAATAAGTAATAGGTTGATATGCTCCGGAAGGCCTGCTAGGTTGCAAGTAGGCCGAATGCGAGATCAAAGGCAGGGGGTCTGTGAACCTCAAGCTTCAGGTACCCCCAGGCCGATGAGGTGGAACAGGAGGGGTGCGATTTCAATCACGATCCAAGGAATGCCAGCATAGACAACCAGCTTGGTCACAACCTCGACATCATATCTCACACGGGGCTTTTTGATTTGTGAGAAGACCTCCTCCTCGTCCCGCTGCTCGGGATCCAACGAAGGGAAAGGCGACAGGCGCTCGTTGTGGCTCACATCGACGCCCGACGAGCTGGGACTGCCTCGTCCCATCATGCCTTCGTAATCGTCAAGTGTGGTGGTCTTTCGAGACAGCACGGGTGTCCCGTTGGGCTTGTTCTCGTCCTCAGCAACCGGGGAAGCGCGATTGCCCCCGGATTGGCTTTCGCGCCGACGCTTTTCTCTATATGCTAGGGTCTCATAGGCGTCAGCTTCGGACTGTGGGCCGACAGAAATGGCTCGACGGCGAGGATGGCGCATTGTCGCCATGATATTAGGGATTTCAGAAAAGTTGGGAAGAACGTCATGGTCCTTCAAGTTCGATGGAACGGTGGTGTATTCCCTGCATCTGTTAGAACGGTCTAGGGTCCCGGCCCGCAGTCAGAACTTACGAAGCAGTGGTGAAGAAGCGACGGGGGAGGAGAAGACCAAGCTTCTCCAACGTCCGAAAGATTGGGGGTAGGATGCGAAGTAGAGCGGGTTTCATCACGGTTCTCCAAGCAAAGATACACAAAACGCCCAGGACCAAGCGGATGGCGGTCTTGACCCAGCCGATTTTCTCTAGGTCATAGGGGATAGAGCCGGCGGGGTAGCCATCCCAAATCTCCGCGAAATGCCACGAAGAGACATCAACTCCAAGCATGACGCCGGCAAACGCAACGCTATCGTCGAAGCATGGACAATCATCCGCCGGCTCGGGGTGGACGCGAACGAGGGATATAATCAATATCGCAAGCAGTGAAATATCTTTCAGTGATGCCGACACGATAAACTCCTCGAACGCGGGTCCGTAGTGGAACTGTACAAGACCAATCGCCGCGCCCATCGCACAGCCCACCGTGCAATCTAGCATGCCGTGCATTCCGCAATACAGTCGACCCAGAACGATAGACACGACATACACATAGGTGACCGTCTGGAGAAGGAGGGTGACCTCGGCGCTGAGAGTCGATTCTGGCGAGCCGAGCAGACCCAGCGCATAGACCGCAACCGAAACCGCGTTCGTTGAGTGTGTCGATGGGAACCCGTACTCCAGTGCCGCAGACCCCGACATCGTGATGCGCTGCAGGGGCGGAGACAGCGGCCGGGGAAGACACAGCAAGTCCTTCAAGAAGCCACTCCAGAAGACGCCGGACGCCAAGATGTGAACCAATCTGCACCATATCCATGTCAGCCAGGCTCCGGTCGCGCATTCATTCGCACATACCCGCGCCCCATGCTGGGCGAGCCGCACCAGAACAGGAAGGGCAAGAAGACCATGAAAAAGGTGTGGGTGCCGAGGTTGGCCGTGAACGCGAAGTAGGAATCGAGAGCCGGCGTGCGGACTTTCTCCTGCACCCAGGCGAGATAGGGCGTTTCATATCGAATCAATGGGATGAGGTGCTGTCGAGGCCAGTAGCGCCACAGGGGCAGTCGGTTCGAGTCTGCGCGGACGTGGGGTTAGCGGGCGAGGCTGGAGATGGGAGCGCCGCATACAGTGATTCAAACTCCTCAGACCAGCATCGGGCTGGTCTTTGCTCTTGCCCATGTTTAGACGCAATCGTGTTCCATAGATCGACGAGCCACCGAGTTCTAGGAATCAGATCATAAGGAGCGAATGGAAGTTGGATTGGATGAATATAGGAGCATTCACTGTGCACCTCACCTCAGCTGTCGATGCTTAGTCACCCAGGCCGAGGCAGCAGTTCAAATGTTGGCAGTTGACAGTTGACAGCTAACACCAAGACTCGACGATATATTATGCACACAGTCAATTGTTTGACATGGTCAGTACGGAATACATCATGGCTTTAAAATTGCTGTAGCATGAGCTACACCCACCGTAATACTCCGTCAACTACCTAGTAAGTAGTCCGTACTCCGTATAGTTTTATAGTTCATTTTGACAGGTCCATTACTTCAATATATCACAGACAAATGCAAATATAACACGATGGTTGCATAATTGAACTTCTTCAGAGAGATTGGAGAGATTGGAAATGTCTGTCCTCGTATTCATGGTGCTCCAGGGCTGTATGGACAGACCCGCGAACGAGTGGATGCGAAGTACTAGTACGGACAGAGCACTAAGTATGGTCTGGAAGCCCTAGACCATTGCCTAGGCAGACAGTCCGAAATCTCGGTCTTCGCCGGCACGACCAGGGGGCTTTCAGCCGAGAAAGATGGGGAATCTCCAGGATCCATCATGTCATGCAGGCTTAGGGCGCTATGGTTTAGCATATAGAGTGTGTACCGAGTACTATACAGTAAACACACAGGTTGGGCAATACAGCCTGATTCCCAATGGAGTCAGTATCAAGATCGAAATATAGTCCTTCACACTGTACAGAGGATATTAACTGTATGCTGTACGAGTGTTGTACTCCATGGCAACAAGAGGGTCCGATCAGAGCTGAACAGTGGAGTCTAGCGTCCCCAAGAAAAGAAACAGGATCGGGA